GGGAGGCTAAGCTGGACAGCCCCACCATCCTCTCTCCGTACCAGGGTTTGGTCGGTCCCCCATTGCCCCCAGCACCCCAACAATGTGCCGTACCTTTTCTGGTCCAGGGCCGTGTATGTGTTGTTGGTTGGGTCTGTGAATTCTTGACTTTGGAGTTGTGTCCTTGAGGCTTTTGGGAAGCCCAGGCCAGTTGTGCAGGACACTTTTTAAATTTGGGTCTGGCTGTTCTCGGGAGTGGATCCAGAGTGTGCCCTCTTGGCAGGGACCATAGAAGACCACTGAGCTGTTAAGGATGATCCCTTGATCCACATTTTTTCGTTCTAAGGGCACTTTTCCCCCTTTTGTAATGAGTAAGTAATTACTGGTTGAGGCCCAGAGACCCTGTCAATGAGATGGGCATATGTGGAGAGGGGGAAGTGGGGCAGGGCAGGCCTGGAGGTAGAGCTGAGGAGTCAGGAGCCAAGCTTGAGCTCTGCTTAGCCCAGTGTGAGAGGGATTTGCCTGCAGGAGGCCCACAGGGTTTGGGGACCTCTCAGCTCAACGGCCCTCCCCCCCACCCCCTCATGGCTTCTTCTGCATCCCAGGAGTTGTCTGGGGGGGTACAGGGGGAGCCTGGGCTCCAGGAAATTTCCATCCCCATCTGAGGCAAATCCCCAGTGGCCCCAAGGTGTGTGTGTGATGGGGGTGGGGGTGGGTAGCTCCTGGTCACTGAGCCAAGAGGAACTTGGGGGAATGGCTTTACTCGAGGAAGCTGAGGACGGGAAAGAGCTCTGATGGTCCTTGCAGCAGCATGACCAGTTTGTGAGGCCCCGATGAAGGGAGATGAGACCTGTGCACGTACATATTCGCGAGTTCAAGGTAACTTTACGGAGACAGGCTCCCCACAGAACGATCATGCCTGTGGTATGCTAAGAAAATGAAAATTACTTTGTGTGTGACCACACATCTGCCCATATGCCGCGTAGAGTTCCATGAATCCTGTGCCTGTTGGGATAAATGCGGCTGGGTGGAGCTGGCAGTACTTCTCTTGCCGGGTGAGGCTCTAGATTAGTTAACGGCAGCAACATGGTTAAAAAAGCTAGAGTCTGGCAAGCCAGCCAGCACCGTTTTGTAACGCGGACAGCCAGGCCCAGAGCATACAGGTCCTCTGGCTGCTTTAGCCACTAGGCAGTCGAATAGTCACAACTGAGACTGTCCTGCATTTGCCACTCGTGGCCCAGCAGAGTAAATGCAAGAGTGCATGCATTTCTAATCCTGAGGTAGGGAAGGAAGCGCTTTATAAACAAGTTTTGGAACTCAGAAATTTATTTAGGGAAAAAAAAAGCAAATTTGGCAGTAAACATTAGAACCTTATAGCCAAAAGAGCATAAACTGAAAAGAAAGCCACGGGCTGGGACACTGGCAAAAGACCAAGCCAGAGAGACCACTTTAATTACTTAATAGAAAGGGAGCTAGAAAAAAAATGCCATCGAAAAACAAGCAGCTCACTGACAGAGTGCAAGGAGCAGATTTTGTGGTCTGAGGGTCCCTGGTGCAGAGGTGTGAGGAAGGAGCCCCCTGGTGAGCACCACTATAGTGGGTGGCAGGGGCTGGGTTGCCTCCTGTGGGCTGCTGTGGGTCACAGCACATGCCCAGTGGTCCAGGTATCCCACTTCTACTTTTACCTTCCAAATACATCCCCAGCCTGAAACCAGATACACGGATTTGAGGGTAATGGCCGACAAAAATTAGGAATAGCCAGCATGCCTCTCAGTAGAGAACTGGAACCATTTAAAAATAATTTATGCATGGGTGCCTGGGTGACTCGGTTGAGCATCCAACTCTTGATTTTGGCTCAGGTTGTGATCTCAGGGTCCTAGGATGGAGCCCCGTGTGGGTCCGTGCTCGAGATTCTCTCTCCCTCTGCCCCTCCACCCTCTTGTGCTCTTTCTCTCTCTTTAAAGTAAGTTGACAAAAAAAATTTATGTAGTCAACAAATACTGAGCCAGGCTCTGCCCAGAGACTTCCTGTGAGTAATCTCTGCTCTCCTGGGGTTTACATTCCAGCGGGGAGGCAGGTAGAAGGGAGTGAGGGGACGTGGCTGGAGGGAAGGTCTTCAGAGCCCAGACCTGTGTGGGTCCAGAAAAGAGTGCTGTAGGGAGCAGCGTGGGGTGAGGTGGGGGTGTGCAGGGGAGATGGAGGGGGAGGATGGGGGTAACGATGACGTGGCGTAGCTGTGTCTTCCTTGACTGGAACGGAACTCTGCGTGGCATGTCTTCTGACTCTAGTCTAGCCTCAGAGAGGGGAGCAGTGGGCCCTGGGGCCTCTGCCAACCTTTTTTTTTGTTGTTCTCTGTTTTTAACAATGATTAACGTTTATTATTGAGATATACTTGACATACCAAAGGAGTTCCCCTGCTTAACACGTGCATCTCATTGATTTTTCACATATTTGCAGAGTTGTACAACCAACACCATAGTTGATTTTAGAACAGTTTATCATTCCAGGAAAAAATGCTGGGCCCATTAGCAGTCGCTCTGACTCTGACCCCCTCTGCCCTTGGCAGCCCCTGAGCAGTATACTTTCCATCTCTGTGGATTTGCCTGTTCTGGACACTCCATATAAATGGAATCAGACACCCCCACGGCGCCGACATGCTTGTTCTGGACATTCCATGTAAATGGAATCAGACACCCCCACGGCGCCGACATCCTTGGGCCCCATGCCCTGGTGAAACGTCAGAGCAGATCTTCACTTTCCCTAGAGGTGGTCGTTGATGCCTGGCCCCGCATTGCAGTTTTCTCTGTACGCTGAGTGGGATTGCTGAGCAAACATCCTCACCACAGCTGTGATCACACACATTTTCTTGAATTTCTCAGATGGTTTGGAAGAAAACGTTGGTTTCTGTGATTCAGACTAGGAGAGCATTCCCACTGGGTTGGGTGCAGCTTTTGTCTGGGATGTCTCCCTCCCGGTGGGGTCTGTGGATCTTCTGGTTACACAGGGAGAAGCGCAGACCTAGCAGGTTCTGGGAGGGGCTGGAGTTCACTCAGGGCCCTGTGTGCTCACAGCCAGTGAAAGCATCGGGAGCCTGAAGCCAGTAGCTGGAGGCCTGGCCAGCTGTGGCCTGCTGGGTGCTGTCGTTCACCTTGCTCAGCGTTTGCCAACAGTTACAAACGAGATTGCACCTAAACGTCCCAAATCTCGCTTCTGTCAGGGTCATCAGGATCAGCTGGGGGTGGGGAGAGGGCCGAGCAGGACGTGAGCTCCCAGGACCTAAACACCACAGTCTCTTCTCCCCCCACCCTTGTACTCTGCTCCTGGCCAAGTTCTTATACCTCCCACCCGGGTCCGTGGGTGGGTCAGGCCAGGTCTGCAGTCCTGTGCCATTTCCAGAAATAGATGCTGGTTATTCACTGATCTACAGTCGACCCTTGAACAAGTTGAAGGTTAGGGCGTTGTCAAAAATCTGCATATAACTTTTGACTTCCCAAACACTTAACTACCAGTAGTCTTCTGTTGACTGGAAGCCTTACTGATAATCAGTTGGTTAACACATTTTGTATATAACACGTTCTAAATACTCTATTCTTACAATAAGAGAAAAAAAATGTTACAGTTGTAAAGAAGGATGATTTACAGTATTGTACTGTATTTATAAAAAAAAAAATCCACCTTAAGTGGACCATGTGGTTCAAACCAGTATTCAAGGGTCAACTGTGTTTCAGATTTTTAGTTGTCTTAATAGGAGGAACAGTCATGATACCTAGCCCTTCCATAGGTGAAAGGAAGTCTGGGATACACCCAAATTTGGCATGATATCACATGCTTTGAGTATACGTTGTTGGAATGAGTTTTGTAATGTTTTATGATTTTTACATTTTTGAAAGTGAGATCTTGTAACTTTTCTTTTAGCTGTGACTGACTTTTTTTTAAATTCCTGGTAACACCAGTCTTACAAAATGAGTTTCCACCTCCCACTTTTTATGTTAACTTTTATCCATACAAGTGTAAAACTCTGCTGTTACTTCACAAGCAGATTGCTTGGAAGTAATTCTGCATGGACTCTGGGTGTAGTGGGTGGGACTGGTGAGCTCAGGGGACCCTGCTTGTTCTCCTCTGGTACGGATTCCCATGGCTTTCTTCTCACTGTGGGGGCATCTCTGTCTGTCCTGTGCAGGTCTGGATTCTGGCGGAGATCCCAGAGCATCCCGCTCTCTCCCTTGCAGCTGCAGTTACGTGAACTCACCCTCCACAGCACGTGCCCTGTCCTTGGCTAGTCACATTTCCCAGTGCAGGTTTGGAAAGATGTTGCCTTTGGAGAAGGCATTTGCCACCCCCAGGAGCTCCCTGATTCCCCCAGAACTGCCTATGCTAGGATCAGCAGCTGAGGACCAAGAGGAGGACCCCAAGACTGTCGTCGGGAAGGACCTTGAGTTCTCCCGCCAGCACTTCCGGAACTTCATCTACCAGGAAGCCGCCGGGCCCCACCAGGCCCTGACCCAGCTGTATGAGCTGTGCCGCCAGTGGCTGCGGCCCGAGGCGCACTCCAAGGAGCAGATGCTGGAGCTGCTGGTGCTGGAGCAGTTCCTGAGTGTCCTGCCTGACAAAGTACGGCCCTGGGTGGTGGCACAGCATCCTGAGAGCTGCACGAAGGCAGCCTCTCTGGTGAAGGACCTTACCAAGGCCCTGGAAGAGCCAGGTGAGGCAGCCACCCCTGAGGAGAGCAGACCATAGAAGAAATGGGAACTGGGGTGGTGAGCCCCGGAAGGAGTAAAATTGACAGCATAGAGCCCAAACCAGTCAGTGGCTTACCTGAGAGTTGAGCTCCACCGTGTATAAGAGGCACAGAGGTGAGCAGCCCTGAGCTGGTGGGGGATACAGCCTCGCCACCCTGCCCAGTGGCTTCATCCTCAGAGTTGCCTCGTGGGCCAGAAAGTCTGCTTGGGTTCCTGCCCTCACGTCTGCCTTCCAGATACGAAGAAGCAGAAGGGAACCAGCCCCTTAAAAACTGAGTAAATGTTCTGGGCATTTGTTTCTGCTCCCTCAGTATGGTAAGAAGAGGCGCACTGGGGCTGGGTGGGCTGAGCCTCTACCACATCTGAGGGCAGAACCTGAGGGACTGGTGGTGATGGGGGCCTGGATCCTTGGGCTCAGGGTCAGAAGCCTATGTCCATGCCCACCCCCTGCAGGTTTACTGTGTGATTGTTAGCACATCTCTCACTTTTGGGCTTACTCTCCCTTTGAGTATAAGCAGGGATGCTTTTGAGTCTCCCATGGGGCTCTCCACAGCTTTGAGGAAAGGGGAGTGTTGGGAAGCTTGCTGAGCCTTTGTTGTCTGTTATTACCAGGTGGGCCCGTGAGGGCCAGTGAAGACCTGGAATCCAGCGAGACCCAGGCATCCCCCGACACCTGTGAGTGACCAGCTAGCCCTTGGGCGGGTATGGGCCAAGGTTTGGTTGGGGAGGGTGGGAGGGAGTCGCCATGCAGGTTATCATGGGAGCCAAGGGAGGCCAGGTAACCGAGGTCTCCGAAGTCTGTGCTGACTTCTTTCTGTACGCTCTGGTGAATGTGACAAGTATTTATAATTAAATTTGTTTTCAAAGATTATTACAAATCATATGTGCTTTACTATTAACAGGGAAAACCATTGAGATAGAAAAAAGTACTCTGTCCACCCCACATGCCCTCTAAAACTAAACCAAGTGGTGCCCCCTGGCATGTGTACCTTCATGTGTTTCTGCACATCTCTTCCGTGCACACACGGCTCACCCAGGAGCTTGCTCAGAGGGTTTTGCGGCCATTTTCCCTGGAGGTGATGTATTTGTGCCTGAGCTCATGCTGTTTGCGTGGGGCAGCATCTCACCCAGCCAGGCCCCTCCAGGCGGTGGACAGATAGCCAGTGCCAAATCCTTCTGACCTTCATGGCATTTCACAGGATCTGCGCTTCCTTGTCCTGGAGTTGGGATTTACTGCCATTAAGGTTTCTGCCTCTTTGTACAGATGTGCTGTAAAATGTCCTCAGGCTTGTACCTGGTGTGGGAGGTTTTGTTTGTGTAGGTGGGTTCCTCGGGATCACAGGACAAAGGACATTTCTGCGTGGTTTTGTGGAAGTTCCGTAGCACATATGGTGCCTGTGTACAAGGGTGTCCATTTCCCCACATCCGTGTCAGCGCTGTATGTCGTTGCTATTTAAGATTTCCACCAAGCTAATGGGTATGAAAGTGTTCTCTGCTTTGTGGCTTTAGTTCGAAAATCTGGGGCCACTGCTGTAGAAGGCCCCAAAGCTGCTTTTTGCTTTCTTCTTGGTTTGCTCTGCTCTGTCAGTTGAGGACAGTTGTGGGGGTCTCTCGGGACGTGCTGTGACATGGGCCTCCCTTTCTCGGAGTCTGAGAACTCTTCACTCTCTTTCCGGGGCCTGTGCAAGGAGGCGGTGGGGTCTCCCTCACTGGTTTGGGCTGCCCAGCTGTGTAAAACCAGTCTGCTCAGCTTTGTCTCCCCTTCTCCCAGCCTGTCGCACTCTAGACCCTGTGCTTCTGGAACAGGGGAGCACCGGCGACGAGAAGACTGAAGAGGCCAAGCCCGCAAAGGTTGAGCCGAAGGTGCGTGGGTTCTGTCTTGTCCATAGGGCCTGTTCCCAAGGAGGAGGCTCTGTCACCCTAGCTTGTGAGGTTCTCTCCCTCCCTCCATCATTAACGTGCCGCCAGCTGCCCCAGGAGGAGCTGGGGTGGGCTGAGGTTCCAGGGCTGGACACCTAGCCTGCTGAATCCCCAGGAAACCCAGAGAGGAGCCTGGCTGAGAGCGGGTGGGGGCAAGGTAAGGAAAGGTCTCTGGGATCAGAGCGAGGGGCCCTTGGGAGTACTGGACAGGTGCTCCCTTTCTGTCAGCTCCCCACCAACTCGGCGTGTGGCAGCTCCCTGGCCCTCGTCCCTCTGGCCGTGACTAGGACACTGTTCATCTCTCCCGGGGCGCACCATCGCTGCTAGCCACAGCTCCTCTGCCCAGGACATACATCCTCCAGACCTTACGGACCCCGTGGCCTTTGTCATGGTGGCTGCTTTTCCTGAGAGCAGTGAGCATGGCTGTCCTGGTCCCCTGGGTGCTGGCCTGGGGCCTGTGTGGTGTGCAGGGATGGAGGAGATAGACTTTGGGGCCTTCTACAGCAGTGGTTCTCAGCCAGGGTGGTTTTGCCCCTCTGGGGGACGTTGGGTGATGCCTGGAGACAGCTTTGGTTGTCAGTACTTCTGTTGGGGAGGAGGTGCTGCTGACATCCAGAGGGAAGAGGTCAGGTAACATCCTGCAGTGCCCGGGACAGGCCCCGCCAAAACAAAGTCCATAGTTCTCGGGCGCCTGGGGGGCTCAGTCGGTTGGGTGTCTGCCTTTGGCTCGGGTCATGATCCCGGGGACCTGGGATCGAGTCCTGCATTCGGGCTCCCTGCTCGACAGGGAGCCTGCATCTCCCGCTCCTGCTCCCCATGCTTATGTGCATGCTGGTGCGTGCTCTCGCTCACTCTCATCAAATAAATAAATAAAATCTTAGGAATAAAAAAAAGAAAGTCCATAGTTCTGAGGCCGAGAGACCCTGCCCTTGCGTTAACCCGGGATCCAGGACCTGCATGGTGGTCGGGGGGATTCCCCCAGGATAGTGCCACCCCCATTGTGCTCACTGGGATTGTGGGACCAAGGGTCCAGCCTTCCTCTGCATGGGAAGCCTCAGCCACGGTGGTGGTGCCGTTTCAGAAGTTGACATTTCCGGAGGTGCCTCTGTACCTGGGCGAGTGGGGCCACCTGGACCCGGCGGAGGAGAACCTGAAGGCCTTCCGGAAACTGCTCTTGTGGGGTGAGACCTGTCCCCACGGCCTCATGCTGTACCCTCAGCCTCTTCCAAAAGCGGTGGCTTAGGGGTTTCCGACTCCCACATGGGGCTTTGGTTAAGGCCCCACAGTGTTTTAAATGTATTTGACTGTGAACGAGTTTGCCAGGGTCCCCACTTTGGCCCTGCCCTCCGAGATCTACACATTTGAGGCCTGCCAGAGCCTTTCGAGTTTGCAGCCCCTGCTCTAGGACCTGAAGCTTCTGAATGTGGAAAGGCTTCTGGCCCCAGTGTGTTTGTTGACTTTCCCATCCTCCTTGGTGCAGTTATGGAGCCTTTTGGCCTTCATGGGTGCTCCCTCTTGTGAGGACATCTTTGCCCACAATACAGGCCCTACCCAACACAGACCTCTGAGCTGTTTATGCTTGTAGTTTTATGGGCTTTTTCTGACTGCTCTCCCTTGAATTTCCCCACTTCTGTTGGCCTTTCCAGCTCTTCCTCTGTGGATCCTCTTCTTCACCCCTTTCCCAGTGTTCTGGGAGCCCCCAGCTCTCCAGGGCTCCAAGCAGTGCAGCTTTGGCGGGTGTCCCAGGGCAGAGGAAAGGATCAGGGCTGCAGTACCCACCCTGGCCAGCCTGTGGGACTTGAGGTGCATTGGCTGTTTCTAGTCTGGTTTCACTGTCTCTTTGTTTTTGTTTTTTTGATCCCACTCAGGGTTTCAGCTTGCCCAGCCTGATGATGCCTGCAGGCTGGAGACAGAGGAACTTCGGTTGGTTGAAACAGAACCACCAGAAGGCAGCTTCTCAGGTGAGAGCTGTGGTCAGGCCAGGGTGGAGGGTGTGTCTTTCTTTCAGAGGCTGATGGAAACTCCTCACAGCTCTGCTTGTCTTGGCAAAGACCTCAACTTTGACCTCACTGTTCTCCCACCCTGTGTTCCCTACTTTTGCCACCCCGCCCCAAATGTCAGAGCAGGAGGTAGGAAGTCACTTGAATAACAGCAGTGTTGATTGTTATGATCCTGTGGATGGAGTGAGATTGGCTGGGCCCCTGTTCTCCCTTTGGTGGCTGCTGGGCTGTGCACCATCCAGAGGCTTGACTAGGCTGGGATGTCCTGAGGGGTCTGACTCAACCAGTGGCAGTTAGTGCTGGCTCTTGATGGGGAGCTCAGCTGCAGCCATCAGCCTGGGCTCTCCACGTTGCCTCTCCAAGTGGCTAGCTTGAGCTTCTTCAAGTGTGGCAGCGAGGTTCATAGAGGGAGCATTCCAGGAGGGTAAGCACCATCATGTGGGTGCTTTGCGGGCCTTTGCTTGCGTCATGCATGCTTCATGTCCCATAGACCACAGTAGGTTACATCATCAAGCTAGTGTGCATGGTACACGGGTTGTATGTGTGAGAGTGTGTGTGTGTTGGGGGCGGTTTCCCAAGGGCCTGAATCCCAGGAGGCATGCTTCATTGGGGGGGGCCCCCATTGTGACACGTTAGTTTACCGCACAAGGTCTCATTTGGCTCTTCCTGGTGAGGATGTGGGCTCCTCCCAGCTCATGGCTCCCTTGCCAGTGGCTACTCACACACCGTTCAGGACGGCTGCTGCAGCTCACATCGACAGCTGCAGGAAAGAGGAGACCCCCCCTTCCCCACACCTGATACTTGTACATACATCCCATTGGCCAGAACTCGGTCACATGGCCACTTCAGGGGCAAGACATGCTGGGAGTGACTGTCTTCGGGCAGGCAGTGGTGAGCTCAGGGACTGCCAAAGAAGGGAAAACAGATGGGGGACACATGGCAGTCTTCTGAGTGATCTTGTTTGAATCCGTTGCCCCTGGGTTTGTGGAGGGAATTGGCCGATTGTGTGCATGCCAAGCACTCCTCATGTCCTCACTCGCTTCCCCCTTGCTCTGGCTTTCCATCCTGCCCTGTCTCACAGTTGCTGGCCTGTGCCTTTTGTTAGTTTTCCTGCCCACGTGGCAGGTTCCTTCTTAGTGCTGGGAGTTGGGGCTGCTCATGTCATGACCTTGTTCCAGGCGGCAGGAGGTGGCAGGAAGGTAAAGAGAACATGTGTGAGACGCTGATGGAGAGGATCACGAGGGAAATTCTCGTTTGCCCCCTAACGGGTGCTGCCCCAGAAGAGGAAGAGCAGCTGCAGAAGGCTCTGGAGCCTCAGGAGGGGGAACCAAGCCCTGTCACCATAGCCCACAGGCGGTCAGTCATCCGGGAGCCAGCCCAGGACAGGGGCACAGCTGGGGGGAGCCTTCCTGTGCCTATAAGGCCAGCCACCCCACACCAAGGCCTTGGAAGAAAGAGGCCCCGCCCAAAGGATGTGGGTGGGCAGGGCCCCGAGTGTGTCTCCAGTGTGAGCAACCACCCATTGTGCCACGTGAGGGAGCCTGATGCAGCTGGCCACAGCGCAGGGTCCCTGGCCAGGCAGGACCTGGATGGCTCTGTGGGAGGCTGCCCTGCTGCCGATGAGCCTGGGCTGTCCCGAGGGAAGCCCTACGCGTGTAGCGAGTGTGGGGAAACCTTTGCGTGGATCTCACATTTCATTGATCATCTCAGAAGCCACAGTGGCAGGAAGGTGTATGCGTGCCAGGGCTGCTGGAAGACCTTCCACTTCAGCCTAGCCCTGGCCGAGCACCAGAAGACCCACGAGAAGGAGAAAATCTACGCGTTGGGCAGGGCCCTGGGACCCCACCCTGCTGTGTGTGGAACCCATGCCAGTGGGAGGCTCAGTGGGCGCACGGGGTGTGTGGCGGGTGATGTTTTCCCTGTGCACTCTGAGGCGCAGAGATGAGCCACTTGCTCGAAGTGTCCCTAGAGGACAACTTCGCCTGCCCAGGATTCCAGAGAAATGTGTCTGGCTCCTTTGAAACCCTTGCGTGGCTTCTTGCATTGTCTACGTGGACGTGAGTCTTGTCTGTTTTCTAAATGAGCTCGTGTGGCTAAAGCACTTAGAACCCAGGAAGGGCCCTCGGGAAGCCCTTGTCTCCTTGTAAACACACCCATGCAGATGCCCACACGCAAGCACGAGCTGTCAGGTGTGAAAGAAGATTTCCTCCTCTTCTGTAGCCATTTTAGCACCACCCGCGCATTGGAACGTTGTCATTGTGCAGAGTGTAGAGTTGCCTTAAAGTGTGTGATTGGCTAGCTCTTGCTGAAGTCAGCCTTGTCCCTGTTCCTCCTGTTCAAGCTCCCCAGGGCTTCTGCTCAGCCATTGGGTCCTTTCGTAAACACCTGATGTCAGGTTCACTTCTGAATCCTCACTAGCAAACTGTTTTCTAGTTAATGCACGTTGTCCACGTGTGTGGAGTGGCTTAACAAAGATCACAAAGATGCTTGGAGCCTAGTAACACAGTGTTTTCAAACTGTGCATCTCAGCCCATTAGTGAATTGTGAAATCAAATTAGTGGGTGGCCACCAGCATTACAACACAATGAAATTAGAATTAAATAGGTCAAAATTCATCATGTAGTAAAGGCAGATGATGTTTTGTGAAACTTTTCAGCCATATATCTAACTATGAGACCTGGTTGCAGTATAAGATGTATTTCTTACTCAGAGTGTGGAGGGTCATGATCATAGCAGGTTGAAAACACCAGTAAAGGTTGATGAGATGTGTCTGCCTGGGCAAGCGGAACTCCTTGGGCTACATAGGTGATCTTTTTATTTTTGCATTTAATCTCAGATTACAGCATTGTTTCTGTTGCCTGAGCATAAACTTTTAACTGCTTCTTGTAGATAAACTGGTGCCTCTTTCCGTCATGGTGTTTGAGCAGGCAGTCTGTTGTAACGATGCCTAAATCACATATGCTTAACATAATAAAGGATTTATTTCTCGCACTCACATGACAGTCTTGTGTTTGTTGCTGTTGCTTGTGTGTGGATGGGAGGGGAGCTCTGCTCCATGTAGTGATTTGGGGATCCAGGCTCTGTCCCTGTCGTGGCTCTGTTCTCCACTGGCCTCCAGGAGCACATGGGGAAAGCCACACTTGCTCAGCTGGGAGACGACACATATCACTTCCACTCATGTATCCTTGGAGAGCCATGATCTCGTGGCCCCAGTCATGTGTGAGGGTCTGGGACTGTCTTTACCCCCAACACCCCCATCTTAAGCTGGGTGTGGCTCTGGTAATTTTTTTTTTTTAAACCTATATTTGCCCTCTGAACTCTTTTTTTCCCAGCCTAACCCATGGGCTTGCCTCTCCTGCCACAGAGAGGGAACACCTGAGGTGCTCCACTTTCAGCTTCAGGGCCACTGATGGGTCCTAAGTTATCAGAAAGCCTGGCTCTCCATCCGCCCGTTTCCCATCTGAGGTCTCCTTTAGTGCACAGCTAGATTGTGGTGCCTTTTTTATTTATATTTTTAAATTTTTATTTAGAAATAATTTCAAACTTAACAGAAAAATCAACCCCACCTATATGAACATTTTCCCCTGCTTGCCTGTGATTCATGCCCCCCACACACACCTGGGAGTGCCTGAGGTCCACGTTACTACTGTTGGTGATGATTCCTTTGCTCAAAGTACTGTTCAATTTCTCCACCTTATGGTTACTTTTCCCCCTTAGCTAATAAGCAGTCTGTGGGGAGACACTTTAAGATGATGCAAATACACTGCTTCTCACCAAAACGCCCCTCCGTTTATCCTCCATTGATGGCTCTTGCCATGATGGTTGCAGAGTTGTGGTTATCCGATACAGCTCTCCTTCCAGGCTCACCACCCAGCCCTGGGCATTCCGCTGCAAGCCAGCACCTCCTTTCTCTCCATTTTTGTGTTCTTAAAATCAGAACAGACTTACGGATTCCTGTGTTTTCAGTGGTTTTTCAAGTTTTATAACTTAGCACCACCCTTATTTTGGCACTCAAGTTGTCCCAGATGTGGTCAACGAGCATCCCTCCGAAAAGGCTCCTGCATCCCTGTGACATGCATCCACTTTTTGAACAATCCTTTTCTTTTTAGTATAATCTATTCCAAGCCCAAATTGTTTCTACCCTGAAATCAGCTATTTTCCAGTTCCAAAGAACTTGTTCCTTTTAGTGGGGATGCTGTGAGACCAAATCTGAGTGCCAGGTCTATTCATTGCTACTGGTGAGCTGGGAAATGCGTATATATGCACACACACAGCTACACAAAAAGGCCTATGTGTGCTCATATGCATGCATACACACATGCATATACAGCAATACCTCCATTTGCATTCTACTACTCCCCGTATTTTTTATGTCAGTAGTGAGAACTCTAAAATCAGCATATTTACTAGTATGCTAAATTCTAAAATACCTCTCAGAATCATTTCAGAATTGGCTTTTCTCAAACCACTACAAAAACCAAACCCATTGAAAAGATGTCAGGATTTGTTTGCTCTTCCCCTGCCATGACCATCCTGACCAAGTCATGGTAGAACACACAAATGATTTGTTCTAGAGAGAAAATTTAGCCAGGTATTCCCACTTGTTAATCTCAGAGGACGCTGGGTTAGTTTAGGCATTAGAGGCACTGGGTTTGTGCGGAGGGTCTCCCATCCAAAGGGGTAGGGATATTGCTCATTGAGAAAGATGTAGCAGGGGCACCTGGGTGGCTCAGTTGTTCAGCATCTGCCTTCGGCTTGGGTCATGACCCTGGGGTCCTGGGATCGAGCCCTGCATTGGGCTCCCTGCTCCGCGGAAAGCCTCCTTCTCCCTCTCCCACTCTCCCTGCTTGTGTTCCCTCTTTCGCTGTCTCTCTCTCTGTCAAATAAATAAATAAAATCTTAAAAAAAAAAAAAGATGTAGCAGATGGAAAGCACAAGAAGGTGGCCCTGGTCTCTCCAATGGAGTTGGGAGGGCTGGAAAGTGTACAGATCATGGAGCTCTGAGCCACGACTCAAAAAGGACATGGTATCTGGAGGGCAAGAGAAAGCCCCAGATGCACTGGCACAAAGAACGGAATGGAGTTCCTGGCTAGTTTCCACAGGGTGTCCGAGGATGACTTCAGAGTGGGCAGGGAAGGGCAAATCCCACAAATGGAAAACTGGCAAGATGGGAATAAATTTCAGTGTGAAGAAGATGCTTAAATACCCTCTGTTATAGACTGAATTGCCACCCCCCAAATTTATACACTGAAGCCCTGACCCCTTCATGTGACTATATTTGGAGATAGGGCCTACAGGGAAGTGATAGGGGTGGGGCCCTAATCCCATAGCATTGATAGCCTTATAAGAGGCAGAGCAGAGATTGCTCTTTGTGTGCATGGAAGAAAGGCCATGCAAAGACACAGTGAGAAGGTGGCTATCCACAAACTGGGAAGAGCAGTCTCATTAGAAACCAACCCTGACAGCACCTTGGTCTTGGGACTTCCAGCGAAGAACAACTCCAGAACTGTTAGAAAATTATTTACTGTGGTTTAAGCCCCCACCCTGTGGTACTCGGTTGTGGGAGCCTGAGCCGACTAATCAGGCCTTCCATTGTGATCTGGGTTGAGAGCTTTGTAAATCATTGTCAACCAGTGTGACTGCTTTGGAAAGCAAACAGCCCAATCACACTAGGAACCACTATGACATTTGTATACCTTGAGTCTTAAGTTTTAGCCATGATGAGTTTTCTTAAAAAATTAAAGCCAAGAGAAAAGCTACATAAAATGAGATGCTGAAATCCTTTCTGGCCCTAGGTGGGATATTAAAAGTATCGAGGAAACCACACGGAGGCCTGGTGGCAGTTGGACTTCTTACGTGGTGTCTCAGGGTTCCAAACACAAGCATCCCAGTGAGCAAGGCGGAAACTGCATGGCCTCTTCTGAATCTCTATTTCACACCCTTCATTTTTCCTTGTTGGTCTTCAACTTTTGTGTCAATTGAGACATACCAGCAACTCTCCAAGTAAGTGAGGCCCTCTGGTAAGGAATGTGCTTGCCCCTGCCATTTTTCTGACACTGTGGGTTTAACTTCAACTTCCTTCCACTGGTGCGGCCCTGCTAGGGAGGGAATGCTCGTCTCCGAGGGTGGGGAGATGTGATACTGTGGGCACCTCCTCATGGTCCCCAACTCTGGGCTGTATTCCTGTGTGTGTCATTGTGGGGGCAGGACAACAGGAGCTTGTGTGACTCGATTTCTCAGTGATCTGGCATTTTCAAAGGACTGCAAGTGTGTGGTTGGGTTCCATTTTTACTCAGCTGAACTCAAATAGAGGAGCCCTAACATGTTTTCCAAATGCAGTGTTCTCCGATGAGAAGTATCATCCTAGAGAGTCTGAACTGTGCACAACTGGCATGACCTGTTTTCTACACTAGATTCAGGGGTAGGAGCCTGTCATGCCATTTACTTAAAAAAGCTCATCTTCTCAGTACATCTGGTTCCCTTGAGGACAAGACGCAACACAAGGATAGAAGCCCAGGGAAAAGGCTGACCAGAAGACCGAGGCTTTTGAGCCACCCAGTCCAGTCCAGTCCAGCCACTGGCTGGCTCCCTCTGGCAAATGAACACCGGAAAGGAGGCTACAGCAAACTGAGGTGTGCCGCAAACAACATATACGCTGGATTTCAAAGATGTACTATACAGAAAGGAAGCAAAATACCGTATCAGTGGCTTTTTAGAGTGACACGTTGAAATGGTAACGTTTGGGATATATAGGGACAGATATTAATTTCACCTGTTTCTTCTTGCTTCTTAAATGGAACTATGACAATAGCTAAATTTACCAATGTGGCTTGCATTGTTTCTACCGGAGATGGCTGTTTTCTTAAGTGGCTTATAAATGAGTATGAGATTAATTCCAAAAAAGGGAGAGGAGGCATTGCACAAGCATATACTGGGGACGGTTGGAAGACTATCTGTAATGTCCTTCCCCCAAGGGAGAAATTTCAAGTTAACTGGAAACATATCCCAGCATTATGACTGGAAAACCAAGCCTGATATAACCCTGATGGTTGGTGACCAAATCCAGCCAATGTAATTTAAATATGGGTTCTAATGAGGATGGCAAGTCACCATTCAAGGGTCGTGGTTGTCAGAGTGACTGCTGTTAGTGGATTCAGGATTTAATGTAATACTATGGACCTTCAAGATAAATTATACAAAAACAAAAGCTTGTCTAAAAACCAGGAAGAAGAATCAATGAAAACAGTCAAGAGAGGATTACCTTGTACATTTCTCAAAAGAGATAAACCTTGCAAAACATAAGGTTCCAGTGTGGAGGTGCTGTTGTTCATAAGATGGTGGCTTAACAAAGGGTATCTTCCTTTTTGTGAAACAGCAACATCTGTGTTTCTAATGCCTGTGAGTCCTGTAGAAAAATTTATAGTCACCTTACACCATTCATAAGCACCCCTCCCAAGAATGTCATGTGCAATAATGATAAATTCTGAGTGTATCTGGTTCTTGTATATAAAAAGCATCTGCTTTGAAAATCTCTAGTTTGGAATATCGTGAATCCTTGGACAGAAGCCATCTCCAGATCCGCTTTTTTTTTTTTTTTCCCATTTCTCTTTTTTCTAGGTTCTATGATGTAGCATTAGTGGGCACTCATGACTGAAGGTCCTCAACACTGATTAACTCCACATTTCCCTGCTACTGTCTGGATGATCTGGTATCCAGGGATGGATGACCCAGAGTTCCACGTTCCCATAGTCATTTCCAGCACTTCTCTCTGAGGGTGTGTGGGGCACGTACTGTGTGCAAAGGCTTGCATATGCATAAACTTGTACTGTTTCCACTGAGAATGACTGGGTCAGGTCTAGTAAGGGAGGAGCTAGACTTAAGGCCTGCCCATGTCCCGGCGAGTGTGATGTGGGCCTACCCAGTATGAGTTCTCTGGTGCTTGGTGAGGGACGAGCTGTGTGTGAAGGCCTTCCCACAGTCCCTGCACTCGTACGGCT